TTAACAAGTAACGAAGTTTCACCAAACGATAAACACGATTTACAAAAAATTTTGGCATGTTTTATCATTGATTATTTCACACATATTAAATTATTACTGAAAAAAAATGTTGCACATCGGATTGTTACATTATTAAAGGATGCAATAGTTCAGCCCTCGCACCACAAACATTTTATCCTACAGGTATGCGAGCTACAAAAAATTTTAAAGCTATAATACTTGACAAAAAAAACAAATAAAACAAAAAATTTCGATTTTTTTCAGCGTTCTTTTGTTAATTTTTGTTTAAAATTATTGTTTTTTGTTCCACGCAATTCTTTACAAAATAGGCTGATAAGTTTTTCTACAGGCTACGAGGAAAACATTGTTTTAATTTCAAACTCAATTACCCACATCGAGGGCCTAGTTGTTTGTGAACTTTTTTTAAATTTCAGAATCATATAGAAAAGAACTTTTTGAAACTGCTATGTTTCATCCAATTTGCACGCTGTCAAAAGAGAGAAAAGGGCGAATTGTGAATTATAACTGCGGACTCTGTTTATCGGCTTTCAAACAAGGCTCGAGTGTCTAGCGTCACCGTCGAGAAATTCATAAAAGCAAAAAACCACATAAAAATGGGTTTTGCAGTTCTGTGTTTAGCGGATAAGAGTTTTTGCATCAACAAATTTCTCAAAACCATGATCTTGTCGGTAGAAAGCAAGAATCAATAAGTATACCCATCCAATTTCAACCAAGTCAGCAAGCCACCAAAAAATCCTTCAATCATAACGAAAGAACACTCAGTGCCAATTAGACTTACTAGCAGTCACGGATGCATTGAAAAACGAAACTCAACCTTTTCCAATGAAAAGTCCTTGATAAAGGTCCAGTTAAAGTTCAGTTTTCTGTTAAAGGGAAATTGAAATACTTTGAGAAGGAATTTGCCACGAATGAATTTGCTAATAATGAGTGACGGATTCTCCTATATCATTATTATCTTATAACGGATTCTAATGCTTTCATGTCTCGACAATATTATAAAAAAAAATTCAATTTTCATTTTTGGAATTTGCATGGATTTATATCTGTAAAATTATTGTTGGATCATTTGGTGCTATATGGTGAGCCTGATTCACTCGAAAAATGTCCCTACGAGGATCTACCCGGGTTGACCTCCATACACCGAAAATGCTTATCATACAATTCCATACATCAAGTGTGTGGGAAAATGCTTGTCATACAATTTTCATACAATTTCTAAAAATGGTTGAAAACTGGTATAAACTCGTTTCTGCGGCTGTTTGATTCTAATAAAACAGTTCTGGTGATAAAAACTGATGTTTTCGTTTTTTGAAAAAAATGCTTATCATACAATTCCCATATATGGAAATTGTATGACTGGCATTTTTTTTGATGGCGACACAAAGTAATTTTGAAAATTTGGCCCAAAAATTTTTTTGTTTTTTTTTCAACCGCAAATCGAAATTCGTACGCAAACAAACATTTTTCGAAAAACTTTTTTTGCATGCAAAATTGAATATTTTGTGTGCATAACGTAGTCCAGGATACGATAAAATTGGCTTTTATTTTCTTTTCACTTATATATTTTTTTCAAAAACGCGGAAAATTCCTATTTCTTCTGTATGGGGTGTTAATGTATGCCTTGATCAATGTCTCATAATTTGAAAATTCAAAAATTTGAAATAATCATCATTAAAAAATTCTGCCAAAAAATAAATGTTTGTTACTTTTGTTATATCAATTGTAAACTACAGTCACATTCAGGTCGTTTTCTATGCATTGTCAATGCAAGACCGTGCAACCTTTGGTGTTTTGAGTAACCAAAGTCTTTGTCACTTGTGTTCGGTTGCAAATACAACCGAAAATTTTCAGAAACTAAATTTAGAAAGAAAAAATCAAAATTTTTGGTTTATGGAAAAACACACTATCATACAATTTTCATATATGGAAAAATGCTTATCATAGAGTTTTCATACAATTTTCTGTACGTATGGAATTGTATGAAAAGAAGTTTCTCATATATGGAAATTATATGATAAGAAGTTTTGGTCAACCCGGGTACCTTAAAGTTCCAGAAGGGGTTTAAAACTTCCGAGTGTCCTTCTGCGGTTTATGCAGACGCAGAAGAACTGGGTTTGAGAACGATTACTAGCAAGCCCGACACTATGTCAACACGAACAACAAAAACTGAGGACCAAGAGGCTTGTTCTTTTGGGTCAAATGTTGTAGGCAGGACAAATGGTACGACTATATACAAGAATGCAATAGGTCCGTCCCTTTTTTATTCGATCCGTCTCCTAGCCAAACAATTGTCTGAGAACAAACAGAGGTATCGACAGCTTGCGACTTCGGGTGAAGAAAGAAAAACCTTAATGCAACTACAAAAAAGTTGATCATCTACCTCGAAGAATTAATGGATGATCACGTTGTCCATCATGACCATTGCTGGTACTCTTTTTGGTTTGGCGCATAGTCAATGCAACTTGGGAAAACAATCGCTTACACCTGTGTTTTTTCATAACCTAAGTAAATCCGACTCACATCATTTGATACAAAACCTCGTGTTAGAAACTGATGAAAAAAAAACACTAGTAACTTGCAGTGAAGAAAACTACGTCTCCTTCAATTTACATATCCCAGTTGGTAGCTACCAGAACAAAAAGTTTGTGGTAACCACAAAAAACGAGGAAATGAATTTTCTTTGTAGCCTTCGTTTTCTAACCGAAAATTCAAACAAGCTGATAAAATAAGTTGAACTTGAAGAGTTTCATAAATTTGAAACCCTACTTTCCACTGCACTACAATTCACTTGTGCAGAAAATTGTCTGTACTTACTCTTACATGAGCGATTTCTCCAAGTTCGATGAAAAATGTTCGCCATTTTTTGGCCGAGACTGGATCAACACTTTGACAGGAAAAATAATAAACACTTTGTTGGATAAAAATTTTGCAGAAAAAAAAACTGGTAGATGTTTAACTGTAACTCCATGATCTATTATCACGAACTTTAATCAAAGACAGACGTCTTGCTGTTAGCTGATGTGTTTGAAAGACCCCCACCTACAACCTTGACCCGTGCCGCTACTACTCTGCTCCAATTATATCTTTGGATGCCATGTTAAAAACAGCAAAAGTTCAACTTGAACTTCTATCCGATGTTGATGTGCTCCTATTTTGCGAGAAGGCTATAGGTGGGATCCTAATGGAATTGGTGAAAAAATGTTTTATGAGAGCAAAAAACAGTTGTCTTCCTGACAATGACGAAATTAAACCATCGACATATGGTTTATTTTTGGATGTGGTCAACCTCTAAGGAGGAAATATGACTGAAAAAGGCCAGTAAACAGTTTTAAGTGTGCGTAAAAAAGTTTGCAAGAAACATTGCACACTCTTGATGATGCAGATGAAGGTTATTTTGTCATGGTTGACATTCAATACCACCAGAGTCTTCATGACAAACACAACGATATCCCCTTGGCCGCTGAAAACTCAAGTGGAAAAAAAAATGCTCTCTGCCTACTAGAGTCAGTTTACCTAGCAAGAAAACTAATCAGAATAACTAATGGAAACTTTATTAGTCAAATTCGACCTACGGAAGAACTTCTGTTTCGATGCAAAATTAGTATTTAAGTCATTAAAAATCAAAAAAATTCAAATTTTTCCATTTTGTCCACTTATCGGATGATATATAACTTGAAGTTTTTGAACAAATGGTTTTTATCGAGTAATAATTTTTGTTTAACCAGATGCGATTCTGCTTTTTGCAAGCAGAGTCAAGAATTTGGCAAAAAAGACAACTCCAAAAAATAAAACAGGAAGATTAAGGAAAATAAAATACAATCATTGACATTAAAAAACCTGAAATATTTCAATCAAACTCGCCAATTGTCAAAGTCGAACTGTTGCTGCGTAGATCGCGAGTAAGACGTACTCTCAGCCGTGTCAGGGGTGCTTGCAGTAAAATAAAAACCTGAAACTGATTACAAGACATGTAAAAAAAACTCCATTGCTGAACAGCAGAGCAAGATGTTTCTGAACTAATTTACATCAGCTAGCTTAGGAATTGGTCATTTTGAATTTTAGACTCGGCTTGTCTGCTGCCTCGTTTGTTTCTTTTTCTATTAATTAATGGTAAAAGTAAACAATAGATTTCTGTCGCGAGAGATTTTTTTTGTAGAACTTTCATAAATCTGTACATGGTGCTTAATGATACTGTAGCCACCCCATCGCTCAAATTTGACTCTGCGTTGGTGTTTAATAATTTATTTTTAAGTTTTTTGTTTTTCCGCGCGCCGGGAAGATGTTTTAATATTCTTAGGTATAACTATGGGTTCTCTTTGGCTCACCTGAATAACTAATACACTACTCGAGTACAAAGTCAAAATAAGCCTGAATTTGGTCAAGAAATTCGAAACGCAGGTCAAGCACAGTCAAAGCATACCCGATTGTGGTCAATAACAGACGAAGTTCAGGTCGAGAACAATCTTAACTTGAGAAATTTTAAATTTTTTGAAAGCTTCATCTAAATTCAAATTGGAGTCTGAGCAAAAAAAAATCTGAGCTCTTTTTTGTTATCTATGGTTTCCTGCGATCTATTTCACTTTTCATTCCAAATGACCTACGAAAAAAAACGACCTTTTAAAAAATCAATAAACTCGGACACAGTTTTTTTTGAGAGTCAAGATGATCAACTTTCGCACCAATTGATTCACGCTGATATATATGTTGAAATATATAAGCTGAATCGAATAAGTTTTTTTTAGTTTTGGTTTTTTTGCCGAGGCAGGCGAAAAACGAACCCTTTTTGGGGGTGAAATTTGAAACATATCTATGCGGACACGAAAAGTAAAAGTAAAAACATTGATTGAGAAAGACAAAACGTACCAAAATCTGGTCAAGGATGACGAAACATGCCGAACTTTGTAGATACGGTCAAAACATGAATCGAGCGCCTCGGCACTGGTAGTTATAAGAACAGGCTACAGGTATTTTTCAGTATTTTTTATCTAAAATATAAACGTGTTAACTTTTTAAAAGGGAAATTTTTTTGGTGCATCATTAAGCTATTTACAAATAATGCATAAATGAGTAGTTTTGAAATGAGTCGTAATAATGGGTAATATATTTGTGGCTGTTGCAGTCATTCAGTCATTAGGATGTATCAATCAAATCATTGTCATCTTCGTTACAGTCTAAGCGTAAAATGCTCGAGTATCTGCTCTCAACCAGAGGCTGATGGGGCAATGACGATGAAAAGAATGTGCGCGCACTGCCCCGACAGATGAGAAGGGAGACAACTGCTGATCCGATCACCAGAACGGGCACTCCGAACAACCCCAGCATCAAAGGACCTAATGTGGATGATGACACTGAAGCTAAAAAAAACGACGCGGCTTTTTCATTAGTAACTAAGAGCTTACAGCAAGCGCAGTCTAACATTTTCTGGTTTCTGCAGCTCATAAGCTTATCAAACTTAATTTTGACCATGTTTCAAAACACTTCAAGCATACCTTTTTCGCTCAACTGTTCTTTAGCTTGTTCCGCTGAATCCGGTTCCTCCAGCTCCTCCTCCTCCAGAAGAGTATAATTTAGCTGCACAGTTTCAATAGTGCTCTCGTCAGTCCACAGAACATCTTTTAAATCTGAGATAAAAAAAACATACTTTGATTTCAGTGAGTAGATAAATACGACCTAAATAAGTTCAAATTATCTTCGTTCATAAGCTCCTATGAACTGATTACATTCCGTTCCCCTTTGAACACGCCTTCAATCTCATCCATCACCCTAGCGTAACTGGTAGCTTTCACATCTACCGCCGGTTTCCTGGCTTTTGAATAACCGCTGCGCTCATCCATACGCAGGAATACGTTAGCCTTTTATTTCATCTCCGCTCCCTGTCGGCTTTTACCCTACTTCTTGCTCAGTGCTATCCTGAAGGATGTCATGCTGGACGATGTCAGTTTCATGGTCATTTCCTAGTGATATCGCATGATCCAATTCTCAAAAATTGCGGCGTTTTCGGTGTACAATTGTTTCAAAACGTAGTGAAATTGAGCAGCTTCTTCTACCCGCATCGAAGAGTTTCTACGATTGCGGCGTTTTCGGTGTACAATTGTTTCAAAACGTAGTGAAATTGAGCAGCTTCTTCTACCCGCATCGAAGAGTTTCTATGATTGCGGCGTTTTCGGTGTACAATTGTTTCAAAACGTAGTGAAATTGAGCAGCTTCTTCTACCCGCATCGAAGAGTTTCTACGATTGCGGCGTTTTTGGTGTACAATTGTTTCAAAACGTAGTGAAATTGAGCAGCTTCTTCTACCCGCATCGAAGAGTTTCTACGATTGCGGCGTTTTCGGTGTACAATTGTTTCAAAACGTAGTGAAATTGAGCAGCTTCTTCTACCCGCATCGAAGAGTTTCTACGATTGCGGCGTTTTCGGTGTACAATTGTTTCAAAACGTAGTGAAATTGAGCAGCTTCTTCTACCCGCATCGAAGAGTTTCTACGATTGCGGCGTTTTCGGTGTACAATTGTTTCAAAACGTAGTGAAATTGAGCAGCTTCTTCTACCCGCATCGAAGAGTTTCTACGATTGCGGCGTTTTCGGTGTACCATTGTTTCAAAACGTAGTGAAATTGAGCAGCTTCTTCTACCCGCATCGAAGAGTTTCTACGATTGCGGCGTTTTCGGTGTACAATTGTTTCAAAACGTAGTGAAATTGAGCAGCTTCTTCTACCCGCATCGAAGAGTTTCTATGATTGCGGCGTTTTCGGTGTACAATTGTTTCAAAACGTAGTGAAATTGAGCAGCTTCTTCAACCCGCATCGAAAATTTTCTACGATTGCGGCGTTTTCGGTGTACAATTGTTTCAAAACGTAGTGAAATTGAGCAGCTTCTTCTACCCGCATCGAAGAGTTTCTACGATTGCGGCGTTTTCGGTGTACAATTGTTTCAAAACGTAGTGAAATTGAGCAGCTTCTTCTACCCGCATCGAAGAGTTTCTACGATTGCGGCGTTTTCGGTGTACAATTGTTTCAAAACGTAGTGAAATTGAGCAGCTTCTTCTACCCGCATCGAAGAGTTTCTACGATTGCGGCGTTTTCGGTGTACAATTGTTTCAAAACGTAGTGAAATTGAGCAGCTTCTTCAACCCGCATCGAAATTTTTCTACGATTGCGGCGTTTTCGGTGTACCATTGTTTCAAAACGTAGTGAAATTGAGCAGCTTCTTCTACCCGCATCGAAGAGTTTCTACGATTGCGGCGTTTTCGGTGTACAATTGTTTCAAAACGTAGTGAAATTGAGCAGCTTCTTCTACCCGCATCGAAGAGTTTCTACGATTGCGGCGTTTTCGGTGTACAATTGTTTCAAAACGTAGTGAAATTGAGCAGCTTCTTCAACCCGCATCGAAATTTTTCTACGATTGCGGCGTTTTCGGTGTACAATTGTTTCAAAACGTAGTGAAATTGAGCAGCTTCTTCTACCCGCATCGAAGAGTTTCTACGATTGCGGCGTTTTCGGTGTACAATTGTTTCAAAACGTAGTGAAATTGAGCAGCTTCTTCTACCCGCATCGAAGAGTTTCTACGATTGCGGCGTTTTCGGTGTACAATTGTTTCAAAACGTAGTGAAATTGAGCAGCTTCTTCTACCCGCATCGAAGAGTTTCTACGATTGCGGCGTTTTCGGTGTACAATTGTTTCAAAACGTAGTGAAATTGAGCATCTTCTTCTACCCGCATCGAAGAGTTTCTACGATTGCGGCGTTTTCGGTGTACCATTGTTTCAAAACGTAGTGAAATTGAGCAGCTTCTTCTACCCGCATCGAAGAGTTTCTACGATTGCGGCGTTTTCGGTGTACAATTGTTTCAAAACGTAGTGAAATTGAGCAGCTTCTTCTACCCGCATCGAAGAGTTTCTATGATTGCGGCGTTTTCGGTGTACAATTGTTTCAAAACGTAGTGAAATTGAGCAGCTTCTTCAACCCGCATCGAAATTTTTCTACGATTGCGGCGTTTTCGGTGTACAATTGTTTCAAAACGTAGTGAAATTGAGCAGCTTCTTCTACCCGCATCGAAGAGTTTCTACGATTGCGGCGTTTTCGGTGTACAATTGTTTCAAAACGTAGTGAAATTGAGCAGCTTCTTCTACCCGCATCGAAGAGTTTCTACGATTGCGGCGTTTTCGGTGTACAATTGTTTCAAAACGTAGTGAAATTGAGCAGCTTCTTCTACCCGCATCGAAGAGTTTCTACGATTGCGGCGTTTTCGGTGTACAATTGTTTCAAAACGTAGTGAAATTGAGCAGCTTCTTCAACCCGCATCGAAATTTTTCTATGATTGCGGCGTTTTCGGTGTACCATTGTTTCAAAACGTAGTGAAATTGAGCAGCTTCTTCTACCCGCATCGAAGAGTTTCTACGATTGCGGCGTTTTCGGTGTACAATTGTTTCAAAACGTAGTGAAATTGAGCAGCTTCTTCTACCCGCATCGAAGAGTTTCTACGATTGCGGCGTTTTCGGTGTACAATTGTTTCAAAACGTAGTGAAATTGAGCAGCTTCTTCAACCCGCATCGAAATTTTTCTACGATTGCGGCGTTTTCGGTCTACCATTGTTTCAAAACGTAGTGAAATTGAGCAGCTTCTTCTACCCGCATCGAAGAGTTTCTACGATTGCGGCGTTTTCGGTGTACCATTGTTTCAAAACGTAGTGAAATTGAGCAGCTTCTTCTACCCGCATCGAAGAGTTTCTACGATTGCGGCGTTTTTGGTGTACAATTGTTTCAAAACGTAGTGAAATTGAGCAGCTTCTTCTACCGGCATCGAAGAGTTTCTACGATTGCGGCGTTTTCGGTGTACAATTGTTTCAAAACGTAGTGAAATTGAGCAGCTTCTTCTACCCGCATCGAAGAGTTTCTACGATTGCGGCGTTTTCGGTGTACAATTGTTTCAAAACGTAGTGAAATTGAGCAGCTTCTTCTACCCGCATCGAAGAGTTTCTACGATTGCGGCGTTTTCGGTGTACAATTGTTTCAAAACGTAGTGAAATTGAGCAGCTTCTTCTACCCGCATCGAAGAGTTTCTACGATTGCGGCGTTTTCGGTGTACAATTGTTTCAAAACGTAGTGAAATTTAGCAGCTTCTTCTACCCGCATCGAAGAGTTTCTACAATTGCGGCGTTTTCGGTGTACAATTGTTTCAAAACGTAGTGAAATTGAGCAGCTTCTTCTACCCGCATCGAAGAGTTTCTACGATTGCGGCGTTTTCGGTGTACAATTGTTTCAAAACGTAGTGAAATTGAGCAGCTTCTTCTACCCGCATCGAAGAGTTTCTACGATTGCGGCGTTTTCGGTGTACAATTGTTTCAAAACGTAGTGAAATTGAGCAGCTTCTTCAACCCGCATCGAAACTTTTCTACGATTGCGGCGTTTTCGGTGTACAATTGTTTCAAAACGTAGTGAAATTGAGCAGCTTCTTCTACCCGCATCGAAGAGTTTCTACGATTGCGGCGTTTTCGGTGTACCATTGTTTCAAAAAGTAGTGAAATTGAGCAGCTTCTTCTACCCGCATCGAAGAGTTTCTACGATTGCGGCGTTTTTGGTGTACAATTGTTTCAAAACGTAGTGAAATTGAGCAGCTTCTTCTACCCGCATCGAAGAGTTTCTACGATTGCGGCGTTTTCGGTGTACAATTGTTTCAAAACGTAGTGAAATTGAGCAGCTTCTTCTACCCGCATCGAAGAGTTTCTACGATTGCGGCGTTTTCGGCGTACAATTGTTTCAAAACGTAGTGAAATTGAGCAGCTTCTTCTACCCGCATCGAAGAGTTTCTACGATTGCGGCGTTTTCGGTGTACAATTGTTTCAAAACGTAGTGAAATTGAGCAGCTTCTTCTACCCGCATCGAAGAGTTTCTACGATTGCGGCGTTTTCGGTGTACAATTGTTTCAAAACGTAGTGAAATTGAGCAGCTTCTTCTACCCGCATCGAAGAGTTTCTACGATTGCGGCGTTTTCGGTGTACAATTGTTTCAAAACGTAGTGAAATTGAGCAGCTTCTTCTACCCGCATCGAAGAGTTTCTACGATTGCGGCGTTTTCGGTGTACAATTGTTTCAAAACGTAGTGAAATTTAGCAGCTTCTTCTACCCGCATCGAAGAGTTTCTACGATTGCGGCGTTTTCGGTGTACAATTGTTTCAAAACGTAGTGAAATTGAGCAGCTTCTTCTACCCGCATCGAAGAGTTTATTTAGTTAGTTCAGAGCTTCTAAATAAGAACTTCTAAAAGAGGCACCGACAAAAAAATTGAGACCATAGTAAAATTTCACGTTTAAACATAAAGCCCCCCCCCCGCACTCAGTAAACAAAATAAATAATCGATTAAGTTACAACTATAATTGTACTTTTATCAAATTTATATTTAATTACACTCGCCAAATTTAGATGATTAAACGATTTATAACCCGCTTTAATATTAACATTTTTCGTGACATTATAATAAATCATAATGAATTATATTTCAATATTTTTTTCCGAAAATCTCTTGTAATCTATAATGATATATTATATTAGATTAAAACCCTTTTTTTCTGTGAAAAATCTCTAAAAGTGAGATGTTATGTCTTTTTTCGGCTCATCTGAATACAAAGTTTTAA